CAATGTTCAATAGCCTTTGCTTGCTCGCGAGCATTGCCGAGGTTGGCCCAATACGAGTTGCAGTTCCTTTCAAAACTGACCTTTCTTTTACCCTGAAATATATGTACACCGTGGTCAGGATGTCAGGGTTAGGAGGAGCAAGGCGAAGAGTGGACGACCTCAACTTTCTTCGATGAACGAGCAGAGTCTTATTTTACGCCACAAATTTCGCAAGCAGATCCCCAATTACGTATTTAAATGGTTGCATATCTTCACACAATATCAGAGACTACGTTTAATAATTTAAAAAAAGTAACTGTTTGATGTTTGCATTTATCTTCGTACAGGAATAAATACAGATACTGTAATAACTAGAGAATGTAGTTTACGAGATCAACAGCTCTATTAGTAACCGTGTACGGTTAAATACCGTTACGTTGTAATTTCTCTCTGATATCATCGCTATAACCAGTTTCGTTTCGAGATTGCAGTAACATCCTGTGCGATGCACAGATCGATTTTTATGTCTATGAAAAGTAGAAGTGATATCGGATCTTATACCTGCAAGTAAATTTGTCATTTGCCATGGACGACAGATCGAATGATCACAAATTGAATTCATATGTTCTATGCCCACGATGTATGCACGGTAGTTATTAATTAGTAATTAAAATCACGATGTCTGGAACACGTTTCATAGAAATTGAAATGCATCGAACGAATGTTATGAAATCAGTTTTTGCATGATTTGATGACGTGCGATTACCTGGAATTTTTCCGTTTATATAATTTTAGGAGTAGTTGGAAGATATGCAAATTAGCTAAGACGATCAAGAATAAGTGCCCTTAATAGGACTGTGTAATCCTATTTAAATCGGATTAGAGCACCAATTGGATTCAATACCATCGATACTTTCTGCGTAACCGCATTTAATTTGGATTTTCATTTTATTTACATTACAAAAATGCTTACTGTTCAAGTTAAGTCTCTTCGATTCTTTCTATTAACTCTTCGATCGTCTTAACTATTGGAATATTATTTTCTTATACTTTTCAAGAAATTTGGAAACGACCGATGCAAATAAAAAGTACATCGTTCATTCTGGCGTCGACTTCGTAGCATTTCTGTTGCACGTTGAAGGCATTTCCATTTCTTTAGCTATTAAATTCCTGCGGTATACCATTGTGTGTTAAATAGAACCACTAATGGCAAGTAACGTGTACTGGTGGCTGCTGAAATGCGATAACGCGATCGGCGGAAAGATTACTCACGTGATTGATCCTGCAATCGCGTGCACATTTTCCTTTGCCCTCGTTAGGCTGCTTTCACGATTAACCGATTATAGAAAGCGAACTATATCGATCATAGTGTGCGTGCACATTATCACGCTGTGAGGGCACCTTTTAATATGGTTATCAAAGTCTTCGTGCTCGTGTCATACGTAATCATAGACTACGCAAGCGGTCAAACGATTGTTTACTCGACAAAGACAAGTATTATTTGTAAAACTATTACCAGCCAGAAAATATTCTGGTCACTCATCCATCATTGGCAATGGGATCCATTGGATCGTTGGGTGCTGGGTTATTGTCGAAAATTTCGATTAAACGTGCTATTTTTAATTCAATATTTATTACGGTCGAGAATATCAAAGCTGATATATTTAATGTATTTACTTAAAACATTCAAATTTCTCTGCTTTTGTATCGTAATGAACCGTAACATTTTATACTCGTTACAATTATTAATGAATTTGATAACGCATCGATTAATGGATCAATTATCGTACGAAATATCTTTGACTTTCACACTTAGCCGAAAGTAAAAATGAATGGTCAAGCGAGCGTGGTCGCTAATGAGAACATTCACCTTACTACGTGAACTTCGACAGAAAGTATTTCGTGATCCTTTATTTTTACTGAAATTAAACGACGTTTTTATCATTACGGAAGAAACGAGGAAACTGTGTAAATATTTTTTCCCCGGCGTATTGCGAAATCTAGGACTCGTAGCAGAACTAAAAACACAAGAAGAGAATTGCAGACAACACCGTGCTATTATCTCTCGTAACAATAAAAGGGGCATGTACAAGAAAAGAAAAACATACTAATAGATAACCTCCGACGGTGCCATTAATTGATTGCAATTGTAGCTTTAAAGAAAACGTAATCGTTTTCTTCTAAATAAGTTTCTCTTCGCGTATACCTGAGAATCGTAACAAATACGAAAATTATTGTTCGATCGTTTAAAATTTTGAATGACTGTACATGATGGACGCGTTTGGTAACGAATTTACGTTTTTGCCATTTGTCTTTGATTTCGCCCGGAAGTGGCGTTTTATTTGCGTCAGGCGATCGGTCGCAAGGTAGAATTAACACTGATAACCGAGATAGATTCTCGCAAGTCTTGGTTAATTACTATACCAATTAACTAGATATAGTACATATCGTGCTTAGCTATTATCTCGCTTTTGCTTGAGTAAACTACTATCACAGCAGTATCGCGAAAGATGTTTACCGCCCGGGAAACGACAATGAACATTTTGCATAGCAATAAAATGAAAAATATAATAGTTTAATTTTGGAGTTAACGTATAATCCACTTTAGTTCGTACCTTATCAGTTTTAAGACTTATCAGCCTGATATATTCTCGGTTGTATTTTATCGTCTGCTCGTTAGCAATTTTTTCAAAGTAATAAACTTTTGTCTCGTTACTGTCCAAAAGACTGGCGTGACAGTAATTTATATCGGCGGTCGACGTTTGAATGGCATTGAAATATCACGCATAATACATTCTAATTTCGGTATGTACGAATCAATGTTTTGTCAGGCTTATCGCAGTCATGTTGTAAAATCCAGTCGTTTTTTACAACGAGCATAAAATAATATAAATTCAACGATAGACGCGAGAAGCTTCTCGACTCGCAGTTCGACGACCATCTTTTTCCAAACAAACTGTCGGAAGTTAATACGCGTTTAGTGTCTCTCGTGGCACACGGGTTAGCATGAATTAGAATCTTTGCACCAGCTAATGTTCGTAATTATTCGTTCCGGGTTGCATACGTCGAAGACGATTTTTACGACCTAATAAAGTGGTATTTCTATGAAATGTCTCGTTAGTAGTTCTTTGCGACATCAATTTCCTTCAATTTTGCCTTATTATTATTTTATTCCGCGTCGTTCGATACTTATTTGATAAAATGACACGCATCGGTGGACACTGCGATGCGTTCTTACTGAAAAGTTAGCGTGCTATTTATTCGCTAAGCAACCCTTTTAAAATTTATTACAAAATAATAGAACCTTATCGTAATGTTATTTTTATTTCGATTAATAAATTTAACGTTATTTATTCCTTGATAAATGGTTCATGTTTGCATCGTTTCATAGTTCGGTGATCACTGTCGTGCATTATTAATTCTTCGTGTAAACTCATAATTACATAAAGTAACGAGTCCATAGCTTTGACGTAATTCAGTCACGCTATCCACTTTAGGTCGTATCGAAACTCAAAATTGATTGCATGTATTATGTGTTACAGGGCTTAGTAATGATAAGCATTATCAGTATACTACAAGTATTTCGACCAACATTTTTAACATCGTAATCAAAATTGTTGATTTTAATAGTTTTCTGTTGGGATCTTCTTTACAACTGTGTCTACCTGCCCTTTGTTCGTTCCCAATTTTCTTGAATCATATAAATGAAAGTGCAATCTTTCTCCATCTATTATTTACGATGGAGCTATAACCTGAATCAATTTCTAGAATCATCTTGTATACTTCTTTGATTCTTAATTGTATTAGAACGATCAATCATACGCGATCATCAATTTCTAATTATCCATTCGTTTCTTATGCGTCGATAAAGATTCATGCTCGATGTATAACGAGCAAAAAAATGTTATTTGCATTTAATTGTCTTTAATTTTATGCTTTGCGTAATTATACGAAAGGTGTAACGTGATATTAATTTTAATGACAGTGCATGTTTCTTTCCTCTCTTGTGTTTGTTCTCTTCTGGATTCACGCGGGTTAAAAAAGTGCCACGCACGATAGAATCGAGGTTTCCTCGCGTTGGGAACTCCGTAAAGGTGAAAAGTTCGTCGCAAGGATTATGTTTAGATATTGAAAATAAAATAACTTTAGACACGCGCGTGTTTACTAAGGAAAGCCGTCTATGTCGATAAATATAAACGCGTTATAAGACGAAAATACCGGTATGTTGTCGCATAATTATACCAGAAGCATTAATTATTAATATCGAAGCGCTTCAGAATTTCTATTGTTACACGTTACCACTATACGCATGGCATTTTCGATGCACGAGAGTTTTTTTTATTCGAGAGGTTCTACGTCATGCGTGTAATTATTATTCCCGATTTAATCCAGTTTGTTCCCTGGGCACTTCCGGTATGAGAAAGTCGCGTGACGGACGCGTAGTGATTAGAGTAAGAGTTTGAAAGTTATAACGGGATGAAGTAGCGTAAAAGGCAAACTGCGTGAAAGGCAGATAGAAGAAAGTGGAAAAGAAAGGAATACGAAGACAGGTAGAAAGTAAAATATGAAAGGTAGGATGACTTTCAGTTTAGAAGGAGGCTTACGAAAGACGCAGACAGAGTGGCTAACAGTTATGGTCGGGATAAAATCAAGTGTTTGGTCAATACACGGCACATGTTTTTCAGCTTATGGCTCTGTTTCCGACGCAAGCATGTTTATGCGAAACGTCGAGAGATGGAGCAGTAAAGTAATCAGTATAGCGGGTATGAACCAGTATTTAAGTAGCCACTAGAGTTTGTTTCGATAGTAGTTTGCCGTTTGCATCGTAATTAGAAAGGTTAAATACGACAGTGACATTGCGATTTAAATTGCACTTTCTACGTATTCAGGTTCTCACCGAGCTAACAACAGCAGAACGAGCAGATAATATACAATATAAATACAACATTTGCGACACTGTTAATTGCAAATAACTTTTTATTATGAAATAACAATAAATAATGTTAACGTTTGATCGAAATCGTATTTAAATAATACATAGCCTCAACGGTTATTAAACTTTAAGTAAATGCAGTTAATTCGTAAGGGCGGCAACTTTTTGTCGAAGATGAATTTAAAGAAACTACCACCGGCCCTTTGGTTTACACGAGCGATTAAATAAATTAATGATACGGATGTATGGAGAATTTTAAACGTCTTGATACAACGTAATCAAAAAATTTTAAACGCGATCTGTTTGATTAAAAATTTGAATTCGTGTACGAAACGTAAAGGTACCGACAAAAGTTAGTTTCGACAAAAAGATGTTTCGCCCGCAGAGTGGTAATACTATTCCTCTTCTCCATCCATGGAGTCGACATCCCGTCTGAATCTGAATCCACCACTCATTCCAAAACTAGGGGAAGCTCCGCCACCAGGACCTCGTTGTACTTGGCCATGTCCTCTGATGAAACCATTGTTGAAATTGCGTTCGTATTGAAGACCAGCATGCGGCTGTGGTGATTGACCTGGACGAATGTTAAGACCACCGTAGGTGCTTAATGCTCCACTGTTTCTATCAAAAACTCGGTTGTGGTAGTCAACGTCTAGAGATGGTCGTCGGTCTGGACCATCCAAGGGCTTCGTTCCCTGAATGACCAGAGATCCCTGAGGATCAGCTTCTCGTCTGAATCTGAATCCACCAGTCATTCCAAAACTAGGGGAAGCTCCGCCACCAGGACCTCGTTGTACTTGGCCATGTCCTCTGATGAAACCATTGTTGAAATTGCGTTCGTATTGAAGACCAGCATGCGGCTGTGGTGATTGACCTGGACGAATGTTAAGACCACCATAGGTGCTTAATGCTCCACCGTTTCTATCAAAAACTCGGTTGTGGTAGTCAACGTCTAGAGATGGTCGTCGGTCTGGACCATCCAAGGGCTTCGTTCCCTGGATGACCAAAGATCCCTGAGGATCAGCTTCTCGTCTGAATCTGAATCCACCAGTCATTCCAAAACTAGGGGAAGCTCCGCCACCAGGACCTCGTTGTACTTGGCCATGTCCTCTGATGAAACCATTGTTGAAATTGCGTTCGTATTGAAGACCAGCATGCGGCTGTGGTGATTGACCTGGACGAATGTTAAGACCACCATAGGTGCTTAATGCTCCACCGTTTCTATCAAAAACTCGGTTGTGGTAGTCAACGTCTAGAGATGGTCGTCGGTCTGGACCATCCAAGGGCTTCGTTCCCTGGATGACCAAAGATCCCTGAGGATCAGCTTCTCGTCTGAATCTGAATCCACCAGTCATTCCAAAACTAGGGGAAGCTCCGCCACCAGGACCTCGTTGTACTTGGCCATGTCCTCTGATGAAACCATTGTTGAAATTGCGTTCGTATTGAAGACCAGCATGCGGCTGTGGTGATTGACCTGGACGAATGTTAAGACCACCATAGGTGCTTAATGCTCCACCGTTTCTATCAAAAACTCGGTTGTGGTAGTCAACGTCTAGAGATGGTCGTCGGTCTGGACCATCCAAGGGCTTCGTTCCCTGGATGACCAGAGATCCCTGGGGATCGGCCTCCCGACGAATACGTTCTGGGATCTGAAAGAAGAATGGATCTTATACCTGGTGTTCGCTTGAGAGTTTTATTTCTGAGTGAAATTGAAAGGGTTTCCTTTTGATAGAATGTTAATAATTCTATAGATGAATGCGTTGATAGAAAGATATAAATGAATACATAATAATAGGATAAAATTAATCCAAGAATAAGATGTCAGAAAGATGCCAATAAAGAATAACATATAAATAAAAGAAAATTTCTGATACGTGAGTATCAATTTACTCAGTTAGCTTCCAAATTCTAAGTGGCTTGGTATGAATTTAAAGAAGAATTTATGCAAAAGTAAATAAAAGTAAGTACTCACGTAGGACTCTTCTTCATCTCCAAGTTGTTCTTGTTGAGCTGCAGTGTATGCGATTGCACAGAGCAATGTTAATGCAAGACCGATGTATTTCATGTTGCTGGAGTTTGGTAGTCCTCGAAATGTTGAACAGAAGATTTCTGATGGCTCTTCGGTTGGAGCTAATTGAACTGTATGGTTACATCTGGCAGCAGCTTGGTCTTATATACAGACTTCATACTGCAAGCATTTTCCCTGTTTTCATTGTAATACGTGTCACCGGGGATTCACTGTCGATTCCGTATTTAGTTCTGTCTCTTTGCCTATATTCAGTTCTTCTTCGCGACTGCGGGGAACTCCTCGCCGCGGGTCAGGAAGGGTCATCTGTGCGAATCGAATTATCTATGCGATTATTATTCGAATTCGCGATGCATTCGAAATATGAAAATTAAATTTACATCGGTTTTTCTATTCATGCAATTATTATTTATTTATCCGTGACTGTTCCTTCGAGTATATACGATTATAAAGAATGCGGGAAAACTTTTCACGTCTCTTTAGTTTGTGTTAATTGTAAGCTTGCGTAGGTGTGAACGAAAAATTGCTTGATCAATCTGTAAATAGACTGAATTAATTGAAAAGTAGGGGACCTAGGTGTGATCCCTGTGGAACTCCAGAGGGGACGGAATCGTGTCTCAAACTTTGTTATTGAAGTGTAATATTATTAAATTCTTGATTTGAATATATATAGTTAGATAATGGTTTATTAAATGCAGTCCAAAGACGACGAAAGTTAACTTATTTAGTCACAAGCGCTAATATTCGATCGAGAAATATCAGTAATCTTATTGTAAGAGAAAGTAGGAGGTGACTCATCGTGAAAAGTGTAAACCTATTGAAAATAGCTTGCACATTCATGCATATTTCGAGAACGAAAAGATGTATTTAAGAAAAATCAACGTAGGAATGAAAGTGTGCAATTCGCTAGCCTCAGTACGATATGTTTACTTTCTAACACAGTTTCCCTTGTAACACGTTGCCAATCAATCGGGAAAATATGCTTCACTTTAAGACATTAAGTGAATGTAAAAACCCTGTCTGTTCTCTCTATAAAAAAAGTAAACAATTTATATATTTTTATTCGTAATTTGTAAAAACATCGTCTCGAATTGTTTTTACATTTTCCGGTTATGATACAGCAGGATAAATGAGTTGCCTTAATAATTGTACGAACGTGACAACGTCAATAGAACTCGGCACAAAGTATTTTTCGCTGCGAAACCTTTGTACACCTGTTTAAAAAAAGCATCGCTTCGTTCGATGAATGCGATACAGTGTGAACACCGAAGAACAATGGAGTCTATGCATTTGTTCCTTTTCGTATTCGGCCTTCGTAGTCGGCAGGACGTATTTTCTGTCGTTCCCCGTGAAAGGGGAAACCCCATGGACACTGGACTCGCTAGAATTTCCATGTTCCACGATGATCGTATTCAGACGTGTTATTTGCTCGCGAAACGCGAGACTCGGCAGACTGTTTTGACGATTGTGTCGCACATCGAGACGGAGATAACGATTAATCATCTCTGCTCGAGTGCGTCCCCGTAAAACATATGTCAATTGAAGACATTAATCGAGTTTTTCCCCGCTAAGCTGCTTTGATTTCCCACACTTTATCATTTTAACGCTGACGCTGCAAACCGACGTCACTCGTTGATTTTCATGAATGTAAACTAATATCTTCACTTTTCAAAGTAGAATTCCATACGAAAGCTCGCGGTCGAAAAGAAAATAGGCTCTTTATTCAGTCTCGCCGAGTAGAGGGAATTAAATTAAAAAAACAGTTGTATACCGTATCAATTGGTTAGATCAAAGCACATTTATGTGGAAGTGTTATTGTACCCAATTACTATTCACTACATTTGATGGCCACAATGCTTGATAAGGTCAATAGATTTTGCCATGTTACGTGTATGCGTAATAAAAGCCTATCTAAAAAATTCTACGCTCGAGATACTTCGTCACCATGCTGTTTCAACCGTTGTCGTCGTACTGCAAAATATCTTTAAAAATTCTTGAAGTTGTATCGTCGTTCTGCAACGTTTTGGGCAAAATTTCATACGTTTGAAATATTAATTTAAGTTCTTGTACAAAATTAAGCACGAATTTAAGGGACGACGTTGTTATGCGAGCGCGAGCACGAGATCCTGGGTCCTGGTTTTAGGACAAACCAGGGGCTCTATACCCTGGATGCCACGGGGTTAGATTTATAAAGAAAATGTATGGTTTCACGGACGAAGGAGTGGACGAACCAGGGTAGGTTTTTAGGATGTTTTAGGATTTTGCTCTGTCGTAATGGTACACCTCGAGCGTTAAAGGTGTACCGGGCTCGTGAGATACCCCTTGTCTTACTGTTAATAGGGTTCAGGGTGTATTAAGTGAATAATGCAAGTGAGGAATACTACTTGAATATATTCTGGTCGATGCTCAAGTACAGTGATCAATTAACAGAATTGTTACTATTGCTAGGTTGCCTTGACGGCAAAAGTTCTATGAGCTACTTCTCGATTAATCTAATGAACACTCGCGATTAAAACCACTAAGGTAGATAGTTGCTCGGTGGGGATTATAGCCCGATCTTGCCTCGAGTGTCAAAGTAACGACGTCTCGAGAGTTTTAAGAGTTTCAAGGGGTTGTACGCTAGATGATCGGGCGAACGCCCAAGTCACCAAACGTTTCGGTCCCATATACGAGTGATATGTAACAACGTAACGGATAGGTTTCTTTTCTGTGGACAGGTGAATTTCCTATTGGCACAGTTCACGGCACTGGCGATGGCTGGATTTTTAAGGACGTTCCTTAAACCATCCGTCGTGTCAGCAACCACCAGACACGTATTTGGCCTCGTCATGGGTGTCGCGCTTGGATATTTCTGCTTTGGCAAGTAAGTCAGTTCATGTCTTTGGGCATTAATTAATACGTCGAGAACAAGCTTTGACGAGCGCAAGTTTTTTTTAAAAGTAATTTCTCATTTACGTTATACAAGGGTACGACACTACAGATGAGATCCGCTTCGGCGAAACTTTTTTAGCGCTCGATCACGAGTCGTGGCCATTTTATCGTGTTCCAGTATACGTGAACTATGAACCACCACGATCTCTGTAACAGATTGCCTTTTAACAACTTCCTAACAAATACATACATACGTTCTATTGTTCGAATCGTTCAATCTTAGGTTCTTCGATTGGAAATGATCCTCCAAGGTTGCAGACAAACCCAAATATCACCTGAGAGTTACGAACGCAATAGACGAAACGTTTACACATCTCTATTCAGGTGCAAGTGGTCATATTAAGCACTTGATGTGAAGATAAGCGGATATACAGTCAGTCGCACAAGTTTTACACCCATCTAATGTAGTTCAAATAGCCGAAGTAAACTAAAAACGACCAATTGTAAGACTGTTTTCGAAATGGAGAACCAGCTAAATGTTAACATAATCATAGAATCAATTCTTGTAATCTATTGGTATAATGTGATTATCGTAGAAGTACAATATTGTGTATATAACAGAGAATTATTGCACAACGCTTACAGTCGAATTTTATCTTCATAGTTACGTATGTTATTTTTGGTATCATTGTATTTGACAGTATTCGGTAGATAGAACTTTATCGATGCTCTTATTTTCTACCAGCGGTTAACTGGGGATTATTCGCGTCGAAATCATCTCTGAGGACAGTTTTTTTTTTTAGTTTTCCTTAGTTCGGTCTTTGTATTGAAAATTTGTATACATTATGTAAATGTGTTTCCCCGATAGATAGCGTTGAATCCATTTCTGAAGCGGATCTCACCTTTAAAGACACTCCCTGTAGAAAGAGTGCCCTAGTTGCATCAACCTACTTAGTGTGAATTTCAATGATAGAAAATCAGATACCATCGACTGTTTCGTGGTTTCAAGGCATAAACGATTCCGTTGACATAAATCTCCCTCGAATGAAAATGCCAAGACGGTATCAAATTCGATCAAAAAATGTTTAGAAACGAAATTCGTACCTTTGTATCTCGTGTCCGAAGCTCTTCTAGCGATAACTTGAATGAAGTGACTCATAGTCGCTCAAGGTTGAACCATTACGATCGCGATAAGTGCTAAAATTATGTTCCTATTTCCGAACACAAAGTCGAAAGCAATTAAAACAATGAAAAAGAAGTCTGCAGATTCAGTTGATGTCATAGTCGAGATATTTTTGCGTCCTAATGTCACGCGCATTTTTAACTTAGCTTCGAACTATGTCACGTCTATTTTTAATCTACACTTTGTTTAAATTCGACATACTGTACGCTCGTTATATCATACGGATTCGATGATATTTTTTTTTAAATATGACGATCAAGTTTTTATTCAACGTATGAATGCGAGGTTGTTCAGAAAACATTTATTGGCGTCATTTTTAAAAATAGCGAAGAATGAAGACGAAGCATAGATTTCTATTTAAGTAAGAAATATCTTCATTGTGTCACATGCTCTTTCAAAACGTCTGGAATAGATGCGATCAAGTTTATTTGAATAATATAAGTGGTTGGTTTGGTTTGAAGGTTTCAAACTAAGCTCAACTCAGATTGTATTTTCAAGTTACTCCTCTAAAACCAACATGATATACTTTACGAAGTTATGTTTTTTCAGGCAGACGATACACCTTGCGCTCCTTCCTGGTTTATGTTACATAGTAATGCGCACACAGAATCCTCGCAATCTGCAGAGGCAAGTTACACGCAACGATACAGTTATTCTAATTACTAGTAACACTACGACAACATTAATCGCTGCATCGATTATTAAAAACCTCGCACGCTCACGGAATTTTATAAATGCTAAACGAAGGTAGCATAAATCGAAAAAGAGAAAAAATATTATATTTACATATACAATAAGCAAACACTCGTTACAAAGTGTCTCACTTTTCCGAGCTTAATATTTTCGAAATCCTTTTGATCCTTTTTTTATTCGTGCATTAGCTGCGTTTACGAGTACACGAATTTCCGCAACGGTGTCTGCATACTGCGATAAAACCTGAAAAATGTACACAGATAATGCTATAAATAGAGATTTTTAAATTCCTGCGTAGTAATGTGTAGCAGGAATTGTTGTATTTTCTCGACGCCCATTAATTGTTTCATCTTACTCGTTATCAGTATGCAAACATAAATATATGAATTTCTTTTTAAAACTGTAATTATCGCTCAAACGATACAATACAAAAGGTGCTTTAAACTTAAGCTCCAATATTGATAGTTTCAAGTTAGATAGTAAAATAATAGTTGTTGAAACGATCATTCGCTATGGCACTTTCTACCCATATCTTATCCGTTGCTGTGATCACGTATTTTTTAAATTGGCAAAAATGTCGCGTAGATAGATTTTTAAAACATTAAACTCACTTTTAAATCGCCGATAGAAATGGATGGAATGTAACAGATTGAAATGTTTGCTCGTGAATTCGTTATTACACGCGCAACAGCCTAATATACGCGTCTAGCCTGCGTTAGATATTAAAGTAGGAAGCCTTTTCGCGTTCGTTCTGCCACGGCCAATGATCGTTCCTTGAACTTGGTAACTCATCTTGATAACACGTTTCAGGGGTGTACTGACGACCGCGATGGTCTACTTATCGTGCGTGCATTATCATCGACAGATATACAGTTATGGCTCGTACACTCTTGATATCACCGGTAAGTATTGCGCGTGCCATCTCGGTACGATCGCCGACGAAGGGAATTCAGTTTCATTTGCCGCGCAAACTACGCGAATATCGCGTGTCAACGGCTGGACACTTGATACAGCGAACGATTTGCGTCTGTAATTAGAAGCGCGGATAACAGAGACGCGGAAACGACATTGGCAATGTCCGAGATATTTTCGCGATTTAGTATTTGTACTTTCTACCATCGCGAGTCTCTAATTTGAATCTACATACATATCTGGTGTATGTATTTGTTTCGTCAACATGAAAGAAGAAGCGACAGAGAATGTGCCAATTTTGTAGTTTGTATTCGAAAAAGGAACACCATCCTGGCCGGTGTCACGTATACGTGATTTTGCCAATTTCAGTCGTTCTCAAGACAATTTCTGGTAACGAAAAATGTACCGAATCGTTTGGGTTGCAGGGCCGCTGATGGTGATAACGCAAAAAGTGACGAGCCTCGCGTACAGCATACACGATGGGCTGACACGACGCGAAGAGGAACTCACACCATCGCAGCTCAAACAAGCCGTGAAGTGAGTTGACGTCTTCTACTAACGGGCCTTTATTCGTACAATACGAGAACGCACAGATGCTCCGCCGTATCTGACGCAACTTTCATTCATATTCAAGCATCGTGACACTCATCTCGCGATGACTCAGGTTTTACTATATTATTTGGTCGTAGGATGCGGTAAAATCCATTATGCATGATTTATTGTAGAAAGATGCCCAGCACTTTGGAGTACTTTAGCTACGTCTTCCATTTTCAAGCTCTGATGGCCGGGCCGGTGATACTGTATCGCGATTACATTGATTTCATTCAAGGGCATCATTTAAGTGGACGGAAACCTCTGACGGTAAACATAATTACGATCGTTTTCCTCTGCACAGACCTGAAGCAAACGGGTCAACAAACATGGTGAATAAATACCCGTGTAAAATACTCGTAAAATTGAAGGAAATATATCCCATCGACTAACAAGGGATGATCCCCGAAAATTAAAACAGTCTGAAATTTTTTGAGCAACATAGGGATAGAGTAGGACCTTATTTCTTTCGTGTTAAGTACAAAATGCGACTCCTGATTAATTTTCGTTAATTGTACCCCACGATTTGATCACAATATCCTCTGATCCTGGAATACTTGAATATTGTCAATTACGTGCGTGAATAATGTCGTAAATATGGCCTAGTGCCTCACAGATTGTAACATTTTGATCTGGGGAGCACGCTGGCCACTTTAATAAATTAACGTTAAACGTTTCAATCCATTCCATTGTTGTTCGATTCTTATGTGTTGGTACATTATCTTGTCGGTACGTCCAAGAAATTCTCTTCTGGAATTTCCATGTATTATTCATTCCGGAGTAAATGCAGTCCACGCCATTAGCGTTCCCCCACCGACATTGTGTTTGGGAAAGTATTTTGTAAGTTTCAAGATTCTTTGAAGTTCCGTTGCGGATCATTCCTTGTGAATACCACTGCTTATCTCTATTCGTCTATTAACTCGAGACGAAAAAAATTGTAGCTATAATCGAATAAAATCCAATTGAATGCTCAAGGTCATTTCCCCTCCTACGTATCATATTAATCGTGACACCCACTTTTACTTTACGCTAACTTGTCTCCCTAGTCGAGAAACGCACAACATGTATTTGCCATTTGTGTAAAAAGATAAGAGACAGAGTGGCAAAGTAGCCAAACAGTGTGGTGGGGATAGTCTTTCAACGACCTCTCGATAACTGAGATCTCCAATCCCATAAAATAAGTTTTGAGATAAGAGGAATGTCCTTTGTTTGGCAAATAAGTAATAGTAAATTTTTACGAGTATTGTATGGCTCTTCGTGGTCCAAAGGCTGAACGAATGAAGAGGGTATAAATTTTGTTTTCAGGGTTGTGACAAAAATTCTAGTCATTACGATGAAATAATCCTGGAACCATCCCCGATACCAGTCGTGGTAAAAAAGACTATAACCAGTTTATTTTTCGCCGCTTTGCTCGTGACTTTGATGCCAAGATACCCGATTCAAAGAGTGAAAGGTTCGTCCAGCTCGTCTAGTATTCATGCGTGCCGTTAAGTTCCTTCTTTGACGGGGCTTCGTTTTGTTCGCAGACGAAGACTTCTTAGCGAATACGACGATACTCCAGAAATTCGGGTACTTGATGATTGCCACTACGTTGGTCCGTTGCAAGTATTATCACGCCTGGATTTTTGTCGATGCTATATGCAATAATTCTGGCCTCGGTTTCAACGGATATAAGGAAAACGGTGAACCCAACTGGGACCTGTATTCTAATGTCGATGTTATCAGTTTCGAGGTATTTATCACGCACGGTTACTTCTGTTCAACGGCGTCTGTATAATTACCTAATTACGGGACAATTAGAATCGCATATCATTAAGGTACAGACTTTAAGTTAACGTTCGCGATATTATGAGATTGTTCGAATATTTTAGACGTCTCAGAATTTGAAAGAGAGCATCGAAAGTTGGAACAAAGGAACCAATCAGTGGCTCAGATCTATCATGTACGATAGAACCAAATCCAACAAGCTCATGTATACTTATGCTCTTTCCGCATTGTGGCACGGTTTTTATCCAGGTTACTATTTGACATTCGCCAACGGAGCCTTCTTCACTGTGGTGTCACGTATCGTAAGCGAAATTTTTATTCCAACTCGTTCCGATTTTTTTCCATTAAAAATAGAATTCGTCCACGATAAGGCTTTGTTTCTTATTGCAACAGAATCGTCGTAAGATTCGACCGTACTTCTTAGGGTCCAAAAGCAAAAAGTTCCTTTACGATGTGATTTCCTTCGTTGCAACGCGATTCTTGATGGCCTACATTTCCTTCAGCTTTGTACTCTTGGAATTTGTTCCAAGTATCCAGATGTACCTGTAAGTACCTAATTGTTATCTTTATGTAAACACTGTTCGACGGTATAACGTATTTTCATTTTCTAGGTATTTAAAAATGATCCCACACTTAGTGGGTCTAGCTATATTAGTCATCGGACCTTTTCTTCCGAAGATTCCGGCGCCCGGAAAAGTAGCCGAGAAAGAGATTAACGCTTCTCAGGAATTAATCAACGGGACTGCGCGCAAAACCATGTAAACTTTATTTCGACGCGGTCGTACGGTCGCGAGAGAAAAATATTTTTTATGAATGTTTTACTATATATAAATATATATGTATAAATATTATGTATATATTATATATACACTCGCGCATATATACGTACGATATGTATTGTTATGACGTGTTACCGGTTACAGATGTCGAGCGTGTTAAAAAAAAAGTATAGTTGTTTTATATAATATGAGTGAGTATATCGTATATATATATATGAGTGTTCGTGTATATGTTAAGAAAGAAGACCGTTTGCCGATTGACGTTTGACGGCGAACAGACGACACCGGACAACGTTGCAGATTTTATTGTTCGCGCGAATACATGGTGATTATCTTTAACGTTTTCACGTTCCTTTTCCCTCTCCACTTTTTCTCTTTACGGCGTTACGATAAAAAAAAAAAAAAAAAAAACAATTTAATAATTTGCTTGGAACGTGTTACACAGTTTTTAATTCTAAGAATTTGTGAGCGATTTTACAGTTTTATACTTTTTAGTGTCAGAAATAATACCATCATTAATTTTAAATAAATTTGAATATTTATTTACGAACTTTTGTTATCTCCGATCATTTTATCGATAGCGAATAATGCTTACACCCGGTGGCAGAAAAATATACGTCGTCCGGGAATGCTCAACCCCCCAAGACGCATTACGTAAGTACGAATATACATCGATGTCGTAAATTCATAAAATATACAATACATTTCTAGAATAATCTCGCGGAACCACGAACATTCATTTTACTTCGTAATTATAATACTAAAAGAACCTAACGTAGCTTACAATCTATGATTGTTTAATTGCCTACGAAATGGCGTTTGAGAGAATCAGGGAAAACTCGACGGACTGAGAAAATTTCACGATGAATAATCAGAATGTGGACAGAATCGAGTAATTTTTATTCGACAATTCTCTTTGCAGTATTTTCTGAAAGTCTTAAATTGATTTCCTTTCTTTTTCACAAAGTATTAAGTACTCGAGGAGAACCGAACAAAATAGCGGAGATTCTGCGAAGAAACGTTGTTGTAAAAAAACTCATGAAGAATACACGTGCTTCCCCGGTGAAATCCGTTCCATCGCGATGCCTTCATCCCCCACGTGCCTACGAACTCTCGAATAGCTATAGCCGCAGCACGGGCATTCACTGATGCTGTTCGCGATTATTTTCACTCGCTGCCTAATGGAATATCGTCCTTATAATCGGGTAAAGAGAAGCACCGAAACTGTTCGGCACTCCCGAAGCCCTATTATACGGGGTGGCCGTGGCCACTTGGCGAGGAGCAGAACCCTTAGTGTGATCATCGCGATCGAACTGCGACGTTCGCGTGATCGCGAGCACCGATAGACACGTTCTCCTCAGATCCACGGAAACATGGTAAACTGATCGTCGATCGTTCGAACCGTGGATGTGCAAAGGACAGTGAAATAGTCGCGGATTCGAGGTCCTTTTTCAAAGCAATTAATTGTGCGCGGCGTTTAAAAATCGGTTATGCTCGCAGAGACAAGGATGTATAAAACTATTTAAAGAATTCCGATTAAATCTATATCTAAATAACGGAAAAAATATAAATTTTTTTTTTTTATTCCGAATTCAATATTTATAATAATGTTTGACGCTTTTATTCGATCTGTATTTAAAGAGTCGGAAGTATCGGAGTGCTATTGTGCTTTCTTCGATGGCCTTTGCACACCCAGGAATACAGTGTGAATTATTGAGTTTGGGGGGAATTATTTTTTAAAAAGTCTGAGATTCTAATTACACAGAAAATTGTGAATAGAAGGGTGAAATTCATGGTATTAAGTACGTGTATTGACACACGTAGTATGAAATTATCGCGTATAGTACATTCGTTAATTCCATGTACGATAAAGTAATTAAATCGAACGCACATATTCTGGCTATGGGTTGGTTACGATTATTAATAAAGGTTCTGTCATTTTTCTTAACAATCATCTTCGGGGCTGAAATTTAATTTTTTTTGTTTAATGATATCCTCGGTAATAACAATAGAAGATACAATATTTCCGCGTGTGTCCCGACATTGTTGTGCCAGTGTATATTATTCCTGGTATGTAACGACCGTTCGTACGATGTTACCAAATAATTTTTTTTTGCGCGTATCGAAACTGATTTTAAAATCGTTCGATACGGTAAGTTGTAACAGTAGAATATCGGTTGTTGGCACACTCGGACGTATTAAATTCTTCTGCGAGAGACATGGAATGAAATTTGTTCGAATAATCGGTAAGGCTAATATTAACGATTTGTAAGGATCGAAACGTATAAGCACGAGTATTTTTGTTTAGAAACTATAACAATTAATTGCTCTTGTTATCAATAAATCGATTCGAATCATTTTATATGCTATTCATTTACAATATGTATAATTTAAAGAAGTAACTGTGAACACGGAAATTCGAAGAAACCAGTGTCCTTTGGTAAGATCATAGACGAAGTATTAAACATGAAACAACAGGAATAATCAATTTATATGGTTTCTATACCAGTGAAGAACTTTCCGGAACGTAGAAAGGATTCTTTGTGTACATTGGCACGTGTACCGGGAAGATTATAGTATAATATTTGATAATCGGCTTGTTTGCCAAATACAATTTAAAGCTTAATTAGGTGACGAAAAGGCAGAAACAAGAACACGCAGATAGAGTGGAATTATATTACTAAAGAGTCGGTGGAAATTGTTGTATGGCGGATGCATTTTGATTTTTCGATACCGTGCCAGCGCCCGGCAAATATTTCACCTTGATTTGATTTACAGAATTTGGCAACGATGGTTAAAGTGGGTTACGTTCTCGTGATTGTCACCCTGTTGCTGATGGTGTGGGCGTCCATGGTGAGGATGCACGAGCTGCCCGTGCAGTATCCGCCGTGCGTCGTCAATCCCCTTTGCACTTGCTCGAAAGCCATTCCCCATCTCGGCATAGTCACCTGTTATAACGTTCCGATGCCGCGGATACCTCAGTCAATTAACTCCTCGATGGTGTTCAAGCTTCAATTGGAGAACAATGGACTGATGTTTCTACAGCCACAGTTTCTCATGAACACAGGTACAAAACCCAAACACGTTCCGCTAGGGCTCCATCGACGTGGTTAGTTTCGGAAAATTTGCAAGAATTCTAAGGCCCAGAATGTCCGCGAATCGCAAGAGAATTTTTGACCAAAAAATTTCTACGTTCGTTCGGAATTTATTTAAGAGATTAGGAATATCTGTTTCAACCTTTGATTTTGGGTCTCATAAAAGAGTTAATATATTTTAATTAATTCGACAAATTCAAGTTTTTTTACATTTTCATAATTACTGGTATGATCGTACAAAACGGAAGATGAAATTATAACGCGTGTAATTATATATAATGATCGCACCAAGAGATACTCGAGTGTGAGAATAAGGAAATAGGGGTTAAAGGGCATCGGCCGTGCAACATCGATTACGTTATGTACAAACGATACGTGGCAGTTCAGTTTTCACGTACACGCTGCTCCCCTATCTCTCAGGTCTGTACAACCTACGGATCAAGCATAATCTCCTGGCCGACATCCCGGACGAAGCTTTCCTAGGGCTTGAGAGATCGTTATGGGAGCTCGAATTACCCTACAATCGCCTCGAGAGGGTGCCCAGCAGGTCGTTCAGGCATTTGCAGAAGTTGCAACTTCTCGATCTGACAGGTACTTCCTCCTTGAATACCTACAGTGTCGTCTTCCTTATCCCTATACGGTCGATTTTAATTTTTAAAACTTTTTCAATCTTTGGGGCCGTATATTGAGTTACAAAGAAAGTTTTCAAGATCCTTTACAAAAATTACCTTCGTTCGAATACAAACGCTAAATCGATACAACTGCCACACTGATAAATGTAACGAACTATGAGTCCCGAAAAGTTTTCTGTAAAACGATTTATGCAAACAGGGAACAAGATATCGAAGATATCACCGGACAATTGGCGCGGTCTAGAGAATTCCCTGCAGAAGCTACGACTGGGGCGTAACGCGATCGACCGACTTCCGGCGGACGCGTTCGCGGGCCTCACGTACCTGGACATGCTCGATCTGAGGGAGAACAACCTGAAGGAAATCGATCCGTCGGTGTTCAGGGACGGCATGGCGCATTTGGTGCACCTTTTTCTCAACGGGAATCAACTGACCAACATACCCTATTCGCAGTTGTCGTCCCTGAAACGAATGAAGGTCCTCGACCTGAGCTACAACCGGATATCCAGGATGCTGAACGCACAGCAAGAACCGGAAATCAGGGGGCTCCAAATGTCCCTGGATACTCTGCGGTTGGACTACAATCAGATCGAGATCCTCATGCCCAACGACTTCCAACACTTTTACAAAGTCAACAGGACTTACCTCGATGGCAATCCTTTGACCATGATCGAGGCACGGAAATATTTTATATTTCGATCAAAGAATTTCGCGAGCACAATCGCGTCTGTGATCAATTTCAACGCGTAGGTCGCCGCGAATTTCCAATTGATCTAAAAGTCTGAACGACGCGTTTTAGGAGGGCGCGTTCAAGGACTCGAGGATACGAGAACTCTATTTCACCGATTGCGATCTGATGGAAGTCGATTCCTCCGACTTTACTGGCCTGGAGTCGTCCCTGGAATTGCTGGATCTATCAGGAAACAACATCACCTCTCTTCCGAGCCCTATCTTCCAAGAATACGATTTTCTGCGAACCCTCAGCTTCCGCGAGAACAAGCTCCAGACATTCTCGCCAGGTAAGATGAAACATTGAAATATCAATTTCGTAGCTGTTGTTAGCTCGTTCAGCAAGTGTCTTGTTCCTTCATTCTTATATTCCATCTTCTCTGAATCGACGATGCATCATCAGTGGAAGTGTTCAACGGTTTCCAATATTCTCTGTACAATTTGGACCTGAGCGGGATGGAGAACAGCATGGTGTCCCTTCAGGATCTAAGACAGATGAGGAACATGCGATTTCTGTCGATTTCACGGATGCCACAGCCGACCCTGTCCGCGGAGGATTTTATGGAGTTCGGGATGGACATCAACGAGCTTCATATCGTCAAGAGCAATCTGAACACTATAAAAAATCACGCTTTCATGCACGTTCACGGGATCCAGTACCTGGATTTTTCGGAGAATTCGATCACCACGATAGAGGACGAAGCCTTCTTAGAGGTAATCTCGCCCGCTTTCCCTTCTGCTATCTTTTAAACAAAGGGGTTGAAAATTGTTTTACGGTTCCATAAAATCACAAGAATCATTCCCACGAAGCAATTGTTTTTATGATACAGTTTCGAGTAAATAGAGAGTGTTGGTATTAAATTATCGAATAATAAATAGTTGTGCTCGCGCGCAAAACGGAGACAAATGACTCGTTATCCTTTCGGGGTACGCTGACTACGTTTCTAACAGGCAACCTTACAAAATCGCGACGCACTGGATCGATCACAATCAGTAATTTACCTTAATATTTAATTAAACTAGATTCGAATCGCATACGTAAAGGCCTTGATAGCCGCGGATAATTCCAATAAAGCGGGCTTCTAGAAATAATCTTCCGTGCAACGAATAGTTGACCCAATCAGAAACACGAGAAATTGCTACCTGAACGACATCGACGAAGATTCTGAATATTGTACGCGTATATTTTAGATCCCGCTTCCATCGAGATCTAGGACGCGTTCACTCGGCGGAAACTCTTAGCTTAATTCGCTTAATAATTTATTCTCGCATCAACAACGATGGAACAGTACAAATTGAGACGATACTATTTTCTCAATTTCTTTTTGCTTACTGCATCGAGAATAGTTTTGGATTCAAACGATTCGATCGAGATTCTATTCTCTTAGGTGGCTCCTTCGCTTCTGACGCTGAGGATGTCTCACGGTCTGTCGTCCTCCTTCTCTGAGATTCCGAACACCCCTTTCAAGTTCTTGTCGAATCTACGACACCTAGATTTAAGCAACAACAAGCTTAAATCCATGCCGGACACGTCGTTCCACGTTATGAACAAGATCGTACGGATCGAGCTACAGGATAACGAGATCGATAGCATCAGAAAGGGGACGTTCCAGGTACTGTGCTGTCCTTCGTATTGTCACGTTACCCCCCACTTTATTTTCACATTTTTCACGCTATTGAAACTTGAACGTATTATATGAAATATTAGTTTGTCACTTCCACCTCCTATTATACGATTCCTGTATAGTAAGTGATATTTCGTTGCGAGGTTGACATACATTGGAGGCTCGAGGAAGTGAACTTAGCGTTCAATATGATCAAAACGATCCAGACCCACACGTTCGTCGACCTGCCGAGATTAAAGACGATAAATTTAGAGGACAACGCTATAGATAGAATCGAGAGACGCGGGTTCATGAATATGAAAATGCTGAAGTACATTAACCTGCGTGGCAACAAAATAAAGGAGATCACCGACGAAGCGTTTCAGGTGAAGCTCTAGCGGAATAAGTAAAATGATATTGCAACTGGAGCCGAAACGTTCGTTTTCTAATTACATTTCCGTTCAAGAATCTGCCGGACCTGGAGTTCCTCGATCTCGCGTACAACGATCTGAACGAGTTCGATTTCGCCTCGTTCGATCAGGTGGGAACATTGTCCTCGTTCAAGGTGAACGCTAGCCACAACAAGATCCCGAAACTGTGGATCAATAGCACCACGTTCACGCCGGCGACCACCAGTAAGTCCATTGTTAAATACTTTGGGCTACCCTGGTTTAATGCGTGTAAACAGATTTCCGTAAGCCTGCTAAACGAATGTCGATGAAACCCTTTTGCTGGTACAAATTGCCACGGACGCTACCTCCGGTTCTCTTACGCTGCTCTTAGGCAATGTATTGCGCAAATGTAAATCCCTCTTTGCGGGATCATTGACACGTGACATCGAAAGTTCAAGAACATTCGACGATACGAAGTCATCGAGTCTCGATCCCCCCTTTTTCTACCCATCGAGTAGTCACGCGGACGAAACGCTATAGAGGGTAGCGTTATCTAACTCTCGAATGGAATATTAAATTTAAATACGTCTTTTAATGTTCCGAACTTGCTAGAATCGAAACTGAATAAGTCTTAGAAGATTCTGATATTCCTTGCATCCTGTTAAATCGGTTTAATTAATATTTAAGAACATTTTTGTGCTCCGTTTCACCGTTAAACAAGATGGACGATCTCTGACCGTTGCAGTCGGTGGCTCGATACAGTCGAACATCAAGGTCCTCGACCTGAGCTACAACAACATCTCCGACGTGATGAAGTATTACTTCAAGCCGGTGGAGTACTCGTTAACGCACCTCTACATGTCCCACAACCAACTGAACAACGTCACGCAAGGTGTTTTCGGGAATATGCCTCACCTGCAGTGGCTCGATCTGAGCCACAACGAACTGATGGAGGTCGACTTCGACTGCTTCCGTAACACGAAGAACCTTCAGGTCCTGTTTCTCTCGTGGAACGACATCACGGACATACCAGCGGAGGCTCTTAGGCACCTGAAGAGACTCAGGATCGTCGATCTCTCCCACAACAAGCTAAGAGCACTGCCGGACAACATGTTCTCGGACATCAACTTGGAGAGCTTGGATCTGTCTCATAATCAGTTTACGAGGCTGCCAATTAAGGCTATGTCCATCTCTTCCGCTGCCAGTTTGTCTATATTGGACATGTCTTGGAACTCGCTGTCGGGGATCCACACCACGGACGCCATATTCAGATTACGAGTCAGTTTCATTCTCTTTTTAGCTGTTTTAATTATCGAGATACTTCTTTTCAACCGACCCTTACCATTTTAGCAGAGAAGATCTATTTATTATTTCCACTAACGCTATGTTTGTCTCAGAGTCTAACGTGGTTGGACTTGTCCTACAATCGATTAGTCAGGCTCGACGACGGAGTGTTCTCCGACATGCCGTATCTAACTCATCTCGACCTGAGTCACAATAAACAGCTGCTGTTGGAGTCTCGCGGAAGAACGTTCCACGGTTTGGAGGACTCGCTTCTCTATCTCGATTTGACCAACATCTCGCTCCTGAGTGTACGTATTGTAGACGAATGTCCAGAATCAGCGTGTAAGCCTAACTTCTTTGGGGGGAATGTTGCCCGTAGGTGCCAGACTTGCCACTTCGACGACTGCAAACGTTGTATTTGGCGCACAACGAGCTGGCATCGATACCGCCAGAAATAGCATCGAACTTAACGTCCCTACACTACCTGGATCTTAGTGCCAACGATCTAACGGTGGTGCCATTGATCACGCACACCCTACCGGAACTGAAAACCTTCAGTCTCGCGGATAATCCCATTTCGATAGTCAGCAACACTAGCTTCTTAGGTATCGCGGACAGTCTCGAGGAACTGGACATACGACGATTATCTTTGACCACGTTCGAAGTAAGTTCTCGTTCGAAAAGTACGATCTTTTCTTTGTAGAATGTCGAAGCCAGCAAGATTTGAACTTGGGAGGCAGGAAATAAATACTCACAATTTTTTATGACTGAAACCTTCTATTAAAAATTATTATGCGATAGTAGTCGATTAGTAGTCAAAAGGTCGTTGAAACGTTTCATTGATCATTGGCACGTGACTCGTAATTACCATCTGTTTAAGTTATCAATACTCGGGTCATAGATCATTGGTTATCGATCAGATTCTGAATTCGGTTCGTTTCTTTTTAGAAAACGAATGCAGTAAAAAGGAAAATAGTAAAAATTCCGAGTTCGGATTCGAGATTCGTGAATGTAAAAATCGGGTTTCGAACCACATCTAAAATAAACGTTTCTTCGTCTGCAGGCAGGAGCTCTCTGCAAAGCCACGAAACTTCGCAAGTTATATATAACCGCTTACAACGGCGTGAAGAATTTCAACTTCCCCAACATCCTGGAGTACAATCACGGCCTGCGGCATCTAGTCATCGACGTAGGTTTAAAATAAATTTCGCGTTTCGAGAATTTCGACCAAAGTGTCTCCGTGACATCGGTACTTGGCGTCGCGACGTTGCTAAAACGTCGAATATCTCGATTTTAGGTACAAAACGACACGGATTTGGAGAAGGAGATGAAAGGAAGGTTCCCCTACAAACTATTCAATATAACGTTGACTGGTCAAGCTCTCAAGAATATACACATAGATATACTACGAGTATGCATTTTTACTATCTTCCGCTTTGATAAATGTTTTCAAATTAAAGGTCAATTAATGCTCATGGAACATTTAGCACGGGATAATAGTTTTCGAAAATAAAGAGTGAGGTTCGTTGCAGGGAATAAGAAATCCGCACTTGCATTTCGAGATGTACAACACCAGCGTGGGCTCCGTGCCGAAGATGATGTTCGAGAACGCGGAATGGGTGAGGAACGTGACCGTTCATCTTCATCACAGCGATGTACGGACGCTTCATAATCCCTCTAATGGGTACAAACCGGGAGTTCCGGGGAAACGGTTTCTAATGAGTCTCACGGTAGCAGGAAGCTATTTTACTTGCGACTGCGACATTGGGTGAGTTTGCCCTTACTCTTAATCTACAGACTGATTCTAGAAACTGGAACAAGCTGAATAAGTTAAGCGTCTCAAGAACTAATCAAGACATCGACTTTATCTTTTTACTCCGATTAAATGCAACAAATTTCCGTTGGAAGACGATAGATCTAGGAATGAGGGGTTCCTAGGTTTGTTCTTTTTATTTCTAGATGGATGGAAACGTGGCAAAGAAAGCACAGACAGTACCAGGAAGACCGGTGCAACACCTACAGCGAATTTAAGAACTTCGAGCGCGACGAGGAGGACGACGAGTTCGATTGCTGGAACAACAACTGGGACGACGATTTGCGCGAAACGTTTTGCTTGAACAAGAATAACATTTCTGTGTTGGAAGCGCTGAAAACCGATCTCGAATGCGGATGGGGCGCGGCTGGTTACGTTCACGCGCCGCATTTGCTCGTTCTTCTTTTCTTGATCGTCCTCGCAGCAGCGATCTATTGAGCCTCTTCTCTGTCTACTCAAATTTCGCACTCTTCGGCTCGATCACTGTTCGTTTCGCGACGCGCCGGTGCCATAAAATGCAAACATACCACCAGTATGTTTATTTAATTCCGAAAACGCAGGCGACGTTTGTCATTCGTATAATTTTCAATTATTAATCTTCGTTCCCTACAAGGGAAATAGCTTTGTCCAGCTCTATGTACATCGCATCGTATTTTAATTCATTTAGCAGTAAGTATCATAATTTTTAAGTAACCGTAGTTTATTTATTTACGCGTTATCATAATAGCGTGTAAGCGTATCGTGTAGGTGATATTTATTATCGTTATCAATGATGATTTTATCTATCCATGTTTGTGATACGATCGTCGTTTAATTTCACGCGGAAGCATTGTTTCGTTCAACGATGGACATTCCACTATTTCTTCCACGAAACGGTTTCATCTCGCGTTTGCATTTTAATCCGAGGCGTCGTAGAGAAAATGATACTTTTGCACACCCCTTATTTTCTTCGCCTTGAGCAGCACGCTTCGAATCAATGAGACTGTCAAATTAATATTCAGATACTCGTACAAAGTGTAAATCGTCGGAATCAACAGGAATTGAGGTTTCATTCTCTTTGTAGCAACTAGTAAACTCTTCTTGCGTTCGTTGTATAAAACTAACAACGTAGTGTCGTATTCGTTTCCTCGCGTCATGGTTGAACTAAAGAACACGTGACCAGTTAGCGAATATGGAGCGTAAAGATCAAAGAGACTCGTGTAGTTTTAAAGTACATTCTCAAGTGATATCCTGTATAACTCGACAGTAAAAGGATTTTATACCTATCTGTTAAAAAGAGAAAGAATATTCGCTTGCAAATACATGCCGTCGACACGACATTTTTTAATAAAATTGCACCGAATATACAACAAGCGTTTTCGTTATTATTTCCATCTTTAATATCGCTGTATAAAAACAGTGGCTTTGTACACATAACATCGATAGAATCGTATAAAAAAAGACACATATATGAATAATCGTATAAAAGACAATCGTACAACGGAAAATACGAGCAACATAAACATAATAAAAGAGATATACTCGCCGGTGTATAATTCTGAAAATAAATTAAAACTTCGTTATTGATATACGCGCTCTATTAACAGAAATGAAAATTAATATTTGTCCGAAAAGATTTTTCAATTATACACGAGCAAACAGTTCTCAATATTTACACGTAATGCCTGCTATAACGGATTGCTAATCAACATCCTTCTATCGTACGAAACGACAGTCATCGGGATTAATTGTAGAGCATGATCTTTGCCGATATACCGATTACCATCTGCAAGATCGGTAAGACGATAAAACCGAATATAAATGTTAAGCATATGTACACACTGAATAATTCCATCGTGAATACGAAGCATCGTATCATTGCTTGCCGGAAGTCCCTGCTCTTCCTTATACTGTCCACTTTGTCCAAAATGAATCGCAATATGTATAGGAGCACCTTGAAAAAACGAAGTTGCAATATATTAAGGGCATGCGATGATATTATTATCGAATAGTAACTTGGAAGTAAAATAACTGAAAGTGTCATTTACTTGGAAAGAATAATTATACACCGATTGCATGCGACAATGAAAAAGAGAAAAGAAGCAAAATTATATTTTTAGTAAACTTGGCTGTCTGTTGATGTGTTTTCTTCTAAATAAAAAGAGGTACGAGTCGGACTGTATGCAACCGAATGTTCCAAAAGTCCTTTGGAAACGTGTTTCCAATATAGAGGAATATGCTCGTGAATATGTGCATAATTTCTGACCGTGTGATTTTGAACATTTTTGTGTCTTAAAAAATGTAAAGAAAAAACAATCAACGGCAGAATGATAAGCTAGATCCTACCTTCGAGGAGTGGGGGAAGACAGCGTGACTCGAGGGCCCACTAATACCTCGCACCGTGCAAAATGGTGGGAGAAGCAACGAGTGTTCTGCTTACTCGCGTGGTGCCAGGTAGCAGAGGGCCAGGCACGCTGCCTTTCTCCACTCCTCGAAAATAGGATTTCGTTTAGTTTTCTGGACACGCGGTTCACAGACAGTCGTAGTTTTCAAAGTAATTTTTTGGAACAATTTCTCTTCTTTTTTTCTCTGGTACAGGAGTGCTAATTTTAAGATATCGTGTTCATCGTACATCAAGGGATTGACAATACCTCTACGACAGGTATGATGTTCAGCATCACGTATAACAGAGCGAGAAGAGATCGACCAGTTGCTTGGCCCATTATCTTGATAAGAGCCGAGAAAGAATATTCTGTCCGTGGAACGCCGCATGATTCTTGATAGTTGACCAGATATTCTCGAAAATTGTGGAAGTAGTTCGATTTCGCGTCGCTTTTACCAGAATCCTCGTAGCGATTCTCTATTTTGTTACACGCGTCCCGCAACGGATTCGTGGAAAAGTCGTTCCCTTCGAAAAACAGACGGCTATATAATATTTAATACATTCATTTGCGTCCCGTACAATAAATTTACGTATTAAATTTACCCGAAACGAAATTATTGTGTTTCCATCGATTCGATCGATGTAGATCGGAAATGCTGTAAGGATTTCTCCATTTCCAATCGGAGCTCGTAGCCTCGTGGATGATACCCGGCAACGAGTGATCGATCGATTCCTCGTCGTATTTCCGGTCGCTTGATTTCTCATTCAAAGTATTTCCGTCCGGTTTGAATCCGTGTTTATCCCTCAAATGTGGATAAGCGTTGCACGTTATATGATCTCGCGCGCAGCAGCTGTGATCTACCTCGTATTTTTCCCCTTCTAGGAACTAGTAAAACATACAAAATAGAAGAAAACCTTGCTACAAATTATTTACAACGTTCGTCAAACGCGAAACTTTACTCGAGTGGACAAGTATATCTTTCGTTTCGATGTGGGAATTTTTGCACTATAGTCGCATCAGAATTAGCTGAAAGCTCAAAGATACGGAAACGTAAAAGCGGGAGTATCGTTTCGTATGACTCGTAACCGAAAAAGTAGCATCGAGCGGTCAATTAAATTTAATCTGACTATAACTATAATCGGATCAAAGAAAGAACGCATTCGAAACTTCCAACTCTTTATACAGATAGGAAGAATTCTATCCCTGCAGTTGTCGTGACGTGTTTCATCGATCTTTCAAATATTCCAGATATTTATCGGATTCGTTGGCAACCATTTTGTATACGTTGCAAAAATATATCACCACTGGCAATGAATGTTAAATATACATGTATCGATGCAGCCCCCAAAAATAAAAAAAATGCAGCGCGTATAAATCTGGGGGCCGACCAAGTCAGGCAATAGGTTCCAAGTTCTTTCTTTGATTCAACTGTAATTCCGTAAAGTTGAGTATCGCAGAGTAATACATATGTTTGTAAGGTTCTATAGGAAACCTTAATTTTCGCGTGCCGCTGACTATGTTAAAAATTAAAAAGAAAATGTACAAAATGTATGGAGCAGTATTTAGAATCGTTTGGGTCACACGTGTTCTTCGTTTACTTGTTGATTATGAAAAAGATATTTATTTTCCAGATGCCAGTTCTCGTTATAATCAGACTTTGGTACAAAATCGAAACTGTTCTGACTTTGTAAATCGTTCATGTTCAAAGAACAGGACACACGGATCGCAGTCGGGCCTCCTTCGGTACTCATAATCGCTAATTTTCTACTACACACGATTTTAACACCAATCACAATTTTACTGCCGTAACGACGACAAAAAAAAAAATCAGTTAATTTTCATGTCCATTCGTCCAAAAAGAAAACGTTCACATTCACAAAACCTGTGAAATTATCCGTCGGTACGTAACTTCACCTGACAACGAAGTATACATATATTTATATAGCGCGATTCGTTTAAATCGACTTTTGCTATAGAATTCCGTCGAGTTCTTATAGTCGGAACAAAATTAACTGGCCGCTCAAGGACCATTGAGGAACAATCCCTACCGCATGGTACAGTTTTGCTACCTCCACTATTCCGTCTTTCGTCGTTATACGAATCCAACGTAAGAGTAGGAGTCGTGCCTGGTGTGATTTATAATCAGGAAAGTCGCTTTGGCGGTCAATTAAATTTGATCCGATCACAGCTTGTTGCGAAAATAAATGGCGCACGGATTACTCAATAGAACTTTATTGTCACGTGACTAACAATAAGGCAGCCGACAACGTGGAGCAGTTTCTTCAGAAAGCCGCCGATTACAAATGTTTATACAAATTCAATCTCGTGTATACATATAGATTATCAGACACTACTTGTATTCACCGAGGTAAAATGTGGTGTAAGGGAAACCCGGAAACAGAAGTCACATAAAAAACGCAAAAAATGAAACATCAGCGATCATGATTCTGCGTTCTTCTACGCCATTATAAAATTGATCTTGTGTACAGCGCTCAACGTCAAACGGGGGGGGTATTCTCGGCTTGATTTGCAGCATTGTACCAACTATGATCCATTAAGTCTACAAATAATATATATTTCTACAAATTCCGACCGACCGTTCTCGATACACTTTCACACTCATCACAGTCGCGCATCTCACTATTTATTCTTAAGCTGTGTGTACCGCGTTATGTTGTTTCTTTTCTTGTAAGAATAACATCGAGAGACGAGTCACAGCAACTTTGAAGCCGATTTAGAGACGGAACCGACATTTCTTCACTGTCCGCAATCGAGAGCATTAAAAGCACAAAGTATCAGAGAAACATCACGGCAAGACTTGATGAAGTGCGTTAGTCTGCTTTGGCGCTTAAACAACAGTAGTGCGAGGAAATTTCGAAGCGTATACCGCGTAAAAATTTGTATTTCGTTTCATTCTCTTTTGTTTTGTTTTTTTTTTTTCTTTTTTTTTTCTTTTTGTACAGCAATTCCTGTTGCCGCTTGTGCGGGGAAAACACATTGGAGGACAACGATCGTTTGCGAGGTATTCTCGGTATCAATCGGGCAAATTTATTGTTTTTGAACCATTTTACGAAAGCGGGATTGGTTCGCAATGTTTGTATGAATTTCGAATAAATACGTCTATATAGCGGGACAAAAAGAGAGACTCTCGAATTCCGTGTCTGGAATTCGACGATACTCTGAAAGACTGGGGGGAGATACCGAAGCTTTTGTGCACGCTTACAACATACCGAAACCCTTTGAATAGTTGATCGCTTTCAACAACCGATCTTGTAATTTTTCTATTGTACTGTAGTCCGGCAACAGTAAGACGTTGAAGCATGTGTGAGCTATTGGTAGTCTGAAAAATCGGAACAAAATTTTACCGTTGAAACGATATTCCGAGAGGAAACCGTGATTTTTCATAATACGTACCTATCAGAGTCCGGGCCGTGTCTGGCAATGACCATTTTTAGCCTTGACAAGCCACCAACAGGTACCCTATCGCTTCCTGTAGTGAACTGGAGAAGTCTACGTTGACTTTCCGGTGGCAACGAATGAGCAACCCGCCAGAAATTACGTATCGCCTCGCTGTCCACTGTGTAACCACCCTCGTATTCTGTAGCTGCTTCTAGTTCTGCGAAATCAAAGATCTTGCTGCCGCAAACAAGCTGTAATCATACAATAATAGCCGGTTAAAAGTCATAACCTCAATTTACTCAAATTAGGTATGTTAAACTTTTACGAAACATGATCTATAAATATACATCGTACATACTTTCCGTGTGCATATTTAGACAATTAGTGTTTTTCAGTCAGTCGTGTACTTAACGGTCTTTCAAAATAACATCAATGTTTAATGCCGACCGCGACATGGTAGTTAAATTCAAATTCGTCTTCGGGTCGAAACGAGCGACGACGTAAATAGTACGAACATACCTGTTCGATTTCTTCAGGTCTAAAAAGTAACGCCAGCGGACTTTCGTCCGTCACCATTTGGAAGCCACGCCTGAACGCCTTAAATTGTCTTTCTACTGATTTATTAAGTAAGAAGTCCGCATAGAGATCTACGAATTCTTTTTTGTTTGCCTGCGTCACGAACAATTCATCGCCATTTTCTTTGAGATCGTGAAAAGATATCGAACCGAATACATCCCTATGGAACAATACAAGTCATTAGTCTATTGGATATTGAAATTATAATGTTTGTTAGTTGCGCTAGATACTTACTTGTAAGCCACTCTGAAAGTTTGCATGAATGTCTCTGGTATGTCATCCCCGGTATATTCCATCAATTCTTTCAATGTTCGATATAATGTAGGACTCCAATCTTCCAAATCGGCAAAACTTCCTTTTCTACCAAGCAATTTTCGGTAAACCACCATTGAAAAACGCACATCGAGAATTACGTTGTTATATATGGCTAGGCCAAGAACAACGCCTATAAGCGTGAAATGTGCGTCACTTTCAAACGATGTTGGATTAAACCACGTCATTTGCGTATCTTCCTATTATATAAAAAAAACACTGTTTGAAATTTTCTGTCCAATCAATTTCAAATGATCGAAATCTGAATTACCTGAGTCGTGAACATGCCATAATCAGGGTTGAAAATTTCTTCTACAATTAATTGAAAGAATTCTTTGGATACTCCACCCTCATCAACTCCCTGTTCATCCTCAAATTCAACGACTAATTGTTTCTTAAGATCGGATGGATTTTCCATGGCGATCATTTCTAATTCAACTAACGCGTCGTCTATCAAACGATCTCTTCTAACCTAGTTTAATAAAAATAACTATTAACGTAAATTACGATAAAATTAGAAGAATATACATACCTTTAGTCTTAAATACGGATTAGTAGGTTGACCAACAACAGTCTGTAAAAAGCTCATTCGACGTTCACTGTACATTCGAATACGGTTATCATAATACAAGCCCAACGTCTTTGTAGCAGGCGTGAGAATAAAAGCGTAATTCATAAAACTAAATTTTATAGGTTCTTCGCATTTATAATATGAAAAGTCTTTATCCATTTCTATGGCATCACTTAATGGTTCATTATAAAAGTCAGTAAAAGGTATAAATGGTTTCCGCGCGTCTAGTGCGGTAATTCCAAGTTCTTTTGCTAATGGATCCTTTAAATAATTATAATCGTTGCTCATATTAATAATAAATTAAAGGGAAAAAATTAATTCCAGTGAACGGTAGGCTAAGCATTTCGTAATTTTTTTTTCATGCTGTTACCTGTGGAATCTGTGATAATTTCCATGATTTATCGTTACTAGCAGATTCACCATCTTCGTCTAAATTTAATTCAGGCTCGTCTAACTCGCCGGCTAACATACTCGCGTAATACAAGATTTTCATAACTTTCGTAGGAGCGGTAATAATGTCCGAATCTTGAACGCAATAATCTCGCGTAAAAGATCCACCTATTACCTATAAAAATAACAATTTGTACCGTCTGCCGTTTGAACTAGAATTTTATAATGCGATCACAAATACCTTGACAGTTATCAATTCTTGTAAAGCCTGTAAAATACTTGGAAGTCGAGATTTACAATGTTTAGCCCATACGCGAGCCAGTTTAGCTTGTGCCATAATAGGAAAACAGCTGAGTGCTTTACAAAGCATGTGAAGAGCGAGTTCCAGATATTCGCTGTTTCCGAGCACAGGAATTTCAAACACAATGAGGAATACGTTTATCAAGCTGTCCATATTATCCCATGCCATCATAATGCGAAGCACTCTCAAATCTAATTCAATATTATCCGCCAAAGTGACTAGTGCATTGATTAAAGCAGACTCAAATGCTTCCCCTAAACATAAAAAGAAAGGTGCAATGAATTAAACATGCATAGAGAACACATTGCTATGTTTAATTCATTATCTTACATCGCGAAACAATGTATTACCTGGTAGAGACCAAAGAGCACTAAAGGCTCTTCGGACAGCTGGTAAATCAACGCTAGTGTCATCATTACTAGGAACTATAGGCGATGGTTCGCTGCTGTCTTCTTCTTTGTCTTCTCCTTGTATCGATCTAATTGCTTCCTTATCCATATCGCCGGGCCTTAACAAGCTATCCGAAGCTCTGTCAAGAAGCGCGGCCAGCGGAGAATCATTTTTCACAGTTTTTTGAAAACTGAGACTTAATGCTTTTCCACATGAAAATACTTCTCCCAATGTGCGAATTAACAGTGAATACGATCCTTCCGATTTACACTTTTCTATTATATCCAAAAGTTTTGCTTCTGTGAGATATGGATCCTGTTTTCCTGTTGGCAATAAATCAATCTCATTTTGTTGCAATTATCTTAGCATTATACATACTCGTGATAAAGTCTTTTAAATAATGTTTAGTGTCAGATTATTATGCCTCTAGATTAAATTACAAATAAATAACAAGAATTTCGAATTAAATACAAGATTTATTAACATGTATACAGCAGCCACACAAAGATTAGATAAATAACTTTAATTAAATTTTGCGTACAATAATTCCATAAAAATTAGAAAAATTGTTCAATTATTTGTAGCATGATTACTATACCTCTCCTTTTCTAAATACTTGAGGTACAAATTGAGTATTAATAATTTTGCGACAGAACGAGAACAATTTTTTACGCGAAACGTTTTGTTAGGGGATGCCTTCTTTTTCTTAGGGTGAAACTTTGGTTTTGCTTTGCACCTTCTTGCTGCTTGTTTTACACTTTTATTTTTATTATTTTGTTTTTTCACTGAATTGTTATCGTAACTTGGAATACGAATATTATATTTACTTAATATTTGTAAAAAAATCTCTTCGTCGGATATTATTGCTTTATTTAAAATTGAAGCACAACTATGATTCAGTTTAGAAAATTGGCACATGTTACTATGACTATCTATTTTTGTGTTGTTAGTGACAGGAAGGGAAAGGAGTGGTTTTTCATTTAATATTAGTTTCGTATAAGTTGCATTTTTACTGATTAATCTACTTTTAACAGAAGTTTGTATATCATTGTACATTGGAGCTTGAGGAATGGAATCCAATTCGTTTGTAGTTTTGGGAATGTCCATTTTTACAGAGTGCATTACTGAGACAGTATCTATAGGGGCAGGATTTGTGCTGGGATTTGATGCAATACCTTCTTCTGAACATGTTGGATTTACACTTTTAACTGGTAAACTCTTAGCCAACGACGCCGGACCAGGCTCTAACGTTGTTCGGGCTACTTTACTTGGTTGAGTGCCATCGCAAAGTCTTGCCTCTTGTGAAAACAACTGAATAGCTTGTGCCGCAGCTTGATTTGGTGTAAGATTTGTCACCTATTTAAGAAAGAAATTAAATCGGTAATAAAAACGATTTTTTTTAAAATAAATTTAAACAATATTTAAATGTATACTTTGCCACTTGATGCACAGTTTTGATTGTCACAGTTGGGATTGCCACATCCATCGGTAAGTTGATAAAAATATCGTTCAATCAACTTTTTAGCAACTGTACGCTTCATGTCGCTGCAAGGGCTCTCTGCTCCTACCCTGATAAAATAATACCAAAACAAGATAATTACTATGTATTCAATTATGTGCACAACCTAATATATCACAAAGATGTACATTTAACATTAACTTCGTAATAAAACACTAATTTTTGATTTTGTTATGATTTCAGGACAGTGAATTGAAAGATTTTTGTGTTGGCTTAATAGTTATCGCAATGTCAAAGCATCAAAAAGATAAAGTTGATATTTAGGCCCCCAAAAGTCTACCACTGATCAATCAAACATGAACATCAACATAAACAAAGGAAACAAAAATAATAGAAACATTTGAGGTATATCCTAATAATTGCAATTCATTCAATTAGGAACACATGGTGGTGACATATTAACAGTGATTCGCGACGTTGCCAGTTCAAGTGGAAATGACAGTTCAGAAAGAGATCAGCTTCTCGAGGTCGGTGAGTCGAGTCGTTGCACCAAAACAAAGTACGTTAAAAATAGCCTAAGCTCATGGATTTTAACGATATTACGTTTTGTGAAAAAGCCAAGTAAACAACGTCTTCACATAGAGAAAAGAACAACAAAAGAATAGAAAAACGTGGCACAGTCACGAGAAAGTTCTACGCATCGAACACTGTAAGACGTCGATGTCACCTGGAAGCGTGATCTTCCCCAGGGTCCCCTTGACCCTTGGCGCTCATAGACCGTGAATCCTCGAAATTTTGCCTCCTCCGTCGTCAATCGTAACACAAAATCTCGCCACGACCGCTTCCTTTGCTGAATCGAAGTTTCAACGAAGACTTACGCACTACCACTAAATTTGGTCAGCGGTCCTTTTTTCGGCGGCTTCGCCACGATGCTTTAACTACGTTTCCACTACGTATTACGCACTAACTAGTGTACACTTCGAAATAGAATAGTAGAAGAAAGACAGAGTGAATAGACAGAAAGTAAGGGAACGAGAGTGAGAGAGAGAGAATGTGAGAGAGAAAGAGAACCGTAGTTCGGCTTTGCTCGAGGTATATTTGTCCGTAACTCGAACCGAACGTTTCGTCGAGGTTAGGTGAACACTGTTTCGCGACTGCACAAATTATAATATCCGTGGATTGTATAACACACCGACCCCGTTGATACGCGAATTTTTCAAATCAATGTCAAAATACCGAGAAAAGAGGTAAAATGAATCGTTTTGCGATCCTTTCTTGGCTGCTGTCTACTGTTCTGTACGGACAAGACTAGTTGCGAGTATCGAGATTCTTAATCGATCGAACGTGGCCGATGTTTCTCGATTTCTCGATAACTCGATGTAACGTGACCTGGATCGTACGCGATCAAGACGATTTTCGCAGACGTAGAGATTTGAAAAAAGGTTACCTTTTTTTTTCATTTCCATTATGTAAATCGCCTCTTACTCAATCGCGTTCAATGTTATACATGTAATACACGCGGAAGCGGGAAACATAAATTTTTGTCTAATAAGAAAATTCTGTGATCTTGCGATTTACGATCAACTCACTATAATACAACTTTATTGTGAAAATGATACAGATATCACCAAAACCCATTTTTCCCTTGGTACTCTATTTATCTGAGCTATTTTCCAATTAGGCCAATTAATCGAGGTTTTTTTTTATGCTAACATTTTTCTCAGTCAGCAATGCAGATGAAATTATAATTATTTCAGTTGTTATTAACTGTTTCGAGTTTTTCGAATGGTTGAATGTTTCATCATGTACAGTTTTGATAATGATATCTTATCAGTTAAAACATACGAGAAACTGATAGTAGTAGACCGAATATACTTTATGTACGTATTTGTATGCTTTTTGTAAACAAATATGACTAAATTTTAGGAGTTAATTTGGCTCATCTCCGGAAACAATTCATTTTCTCGCTAAAAACACATTTTTTGTTGGCAGTAAACAATAACAAATATGTTAATTTCTGTAGAATAGGTACTCAAAAGTTTGGTACTTTACTTACGTGACACCCTATATACACGTTCTTCGTAAATGAGCGGCGACTTATCGAGGGCATATATGTATATACGTGATATACCCTTTGCAGCGAAAAGGTTAAGCGTTGAAATGGAATATAGAAATCGATTCGAAAATAGAACGGTTATTAAAAAACAAATAGGATTATTATGTACTATATGGTAATTAAAAAATTATTCCAATATTTGTATTTGTCTCCAAACACGTCTAACAAATACATTCTTCAATTTTACAATCTGGAATAAAACTTCCCCTAACATTTCTTTCTATTTTAAAGACATTTAATTATTGGAATTTCTACTCATTGTTTCCCCTTTGTATTAATGTTTAATAATCCAACAAAAAATATAAATTAATACGATCAATTGTTACAATGGGTGACATTATTACCAATATTTGAAATTCATCGTTTAAAATCGTGTTAAAGGTTCTTGATTATTCAAACACAGCAAAAGTAATTCTACACCGATCTTGCATACCACCGGCGAAGTTTTTCAAAGAGAATATCGATTTAGTGCTAAATCCAGCATACGTTATCGCGGGGTGTCTAGTATGTATAATTTCTTCCCTGATTTCACGACAATAAGTAAACGAGGGCCAAACAGAGGGGTCGGGGAGGAGAAGAGATTGTAGCGAAAGGAGTAGCAAGTCATTCGATAATTTCTATCGGTTCGGGGCGAATATAAAAGGGAAATTGAGCTTTCGGGGTGAAACGAAGGACTGACGCGAACAGGAAACCATTAGTTCACGGCAAAAAAGGGTGAAATTATCGGTGCCAAGTTGTGCCATTTGTCGACTAGACGCGCGAATGAAGCCGCTCCCTCGGTCACACCTTCGTACATACTCACACTGCGTTTTATTTAAATTCATTTCTAGTACTTTCTCGTTAATTGCAATGCCAAATACGCAGCCCGGTAGAAATTTTTCAGAATTATTCAGCTCGCTGTTCATATTTAAGAAAGTTATGATAATGACCCTCTTATCCTAGATACAAAAACAGGGTTTAATTTAAAAAAGAATTATTGTATTCAAAATTAATTGCGAATATTTTTTCTTTTATTAACAATTTTTCTTTTCAACTTAATTATAGATCTCGATTAACGGATTCTAATATTTCATACTGGCTATAAAATTGTACGATTTATTAAATTGTTATGAAAGTTTAATCATAATTAATTAAGCCTTTACGAAAGTTTAATCCAATTTGAACGAATGGTATAAAAAGGGTATTAAATTCTACAGTCGTTTGTACACAAAACGATTCGTATAAAATGTATAGATAAAATTCAAAGTAAACATCATTGTGGGCTCCTAAAATGTAGATAATTATGTTAACGAGGTCAAGTGGATCGACGATAAACCGTAAGCTTAACAGTTATCACGATGTTGCATACATAATTAATTTTGCATGTTAAGCAGCCTTTTTTCATGGAATTAAAAGGAAACTTTTTGGAAGTAATCTTCTGAAAGGCAAACTTTTATTAGCGTGTTTTGCTCCGGAAAGAGGATTTTCTTTTGTGGTTAAATTTCCTGTTTCGCGCGTCTGTTTCAATTTTCTAAAAAGAATGATATCGAAGAAAGAGACGTTGTTCTCAAATTTTCTCAAATATTCTGGTGTTCGTCGGGCGATGTATATTCACAAGCTAGTGGGAAAGAATTATCCACACAACGAAGGGCAGGCACAAGCCAACCGACCAGTTACCAGGTTCTTAAGTCGACAATGTAATTTAAAGTTTCAGAGATCGCTCTCGGGTGAAGATAGCTCGGGCCATTTAGTCGTATGATCGAGAGTCGCTGATTAGACAGAAATCGGTGCTTCAGCAAGTAAGGTGTCATCAGTAATTTGGTGCCAAGCCAACTACTCGAAATTTTTCGATGATACACAGCTATAACCGTGTTCGATCCGAAATGTGTCAGAGGCTCGCAACATAGTCTCCGCGATAAGCTTGCCTCGAAGAAAACGTACGAACATCGTTTCTTTTTTTTAACGTTTTCTGCCCCAATAATTCCCATATTGGGTTACGATCCTTTGCCATGTATTCTACTTCACAATATTTTACTTATGGTTATAATTCATATCGGAACGACGATCGCGGCCTCAATAATTCTTTTAAAAATAATTCTAAATTTTGTTCCATGAATACGTTTCGCGATCCTGTCGCGCCAATACTATTTTTAACAAATTAAAACAATTAATTCGGGTCAGCGGAAAACGTAAATTTCTCGCGTCCGCGGAAAAGTTCAAATCGCGACGAGTGCTCGTTTATCTCGCGATTTATATTTCCTGCCCAGCGTCGAATTTCTTCATCCGTCGTTCGAATGGTTAAACTTTAAATGTGCTCGCGGGCATCCGGCGTCGTTGACGGCGATCGTCCGTGATGTTGAATACGATAATGCGCAGCCGAACGAATGCGCTCGACCGAGCTCGCGAAGGGAAATCGTTAAAGCCCTCCGCGAGCTCCCATTCAATTCGCCAAAGATGCAATAAGATAGAAGAGAAAACGATCCGTCCGTCTCGGATTGAATCTAATCTGACGAGCATTCTGGCTACGACGGAAAGTGTTTCTGGACCTTTGAAACCTGGTAGCTACGCGAGACAATTGTTATCGTTATCGCTGGCAAAGCAACTCGGACAGACCGAAGTAAACAGACCGGTTTCCTTTCCTTTTTTTTTCGGGGTAGAAAAGTCGGAACTGGCGGCGGTGGGAGGGTTAGGACGATAGAGATCGGGAAGCAGAAAGGTACACAGATTTACAGGGACCAGGGGTCGCTTGATAGGGGATGAAGCTTCCGCTTGGATGCGGCCGAGTTTCGATCAAGGCCAACTTTGCCATTCGTTTGCCACCCTCCGTCCCTCTCTCCGCCCTATCTGCCCCTCTTTCTCCCACCCTCGTTCTTCTTTGACCCCTCCCCGCCCCTTCCGGCTCGCACGTTTCTTTTTCACTCTATTTTTATTCTCATCTTTTATTCGCCCCCTTTTTGTGATACTTCACGCTTCTCTCTCATCAACTCTGTCCACTATGTCTGCCTTTCTCCTGTTTCTCTTTTTTTGCTCTGCGAAATGTTTCGTATTTGTTTCATTTCTCTATTTTTAATTCTCCCTTAAGTTTCACCGGGGCGTTCTCGCGCGTACGAAAAATGAAAAGCAAATACACGAGCACGCCCGCAATTACCGTTGTTTGCTTCTCATCAACCGATTCACTTTCATTGGCTGATGAAACAGAACGAAAATATCCTTTGGTTTAAAAACAAAAGCCACGGTATTCTTAATTTTGTACCTCGAACCGGGAGCGCTTCATTTTCACTTGCGCGAGAACGTTCTGGGATGTTTCATGAAATTTTTGAAGACAGTTCTTGATTTTAATCGAGAATGATTGCGTCGAAGGAGTACGATTAGTACACGAAATTGGAGGGTGGAAAGAAAGAATCGCGATCGTCTAAAAATACTACAGGTGAGGGACAACAGGGGTAGTCGTCTAGTTCGAAAGTTCTGATATCTGGAAAAAGTTTATTCCCAATAGCTAGTTTGAATCGTTTCGATGTGTTTGTGCATTAGGAATGAAATTGTTATTTAAAAAAAATTGTAAATAATGTGCGAAGGGGTTAGTGTCTCAATTTTTTAAGCGTACTGTCGGTGCTTCATCATTTTCTCTCCTCCCTCGATAGCTTCCTATCCCCCCCCCATTTCTTGATTTTCCCTTCCTTCGCAGCACATATTGCGCGCTATTGTTTCCGAGAACCTCTAATTCCGACGGTAATGATCTCGTAGTCGATGCTCGACCAGTTGTATCGGTGTTCTGTGTTACGCGCCGCTGCTCGTATCGACTTTCCTTTATATTAAACTTCAACCTCTGGTGCAGGGAATCGCAATGACGAGGCGCAATAATTCACTGCGTTCTGACGCGACTCTTACGTTAACACGTTTTTGGACGAGTGGCGAGTTCTCGCAGAGACCTCAATCGTTGATTGTGTTCATCTAATTAGCAAGGCTTTCCAAATAATTTGCAACAGTATTTCATAGTAAAAATATTATGCTCGAGGGCTTGTAACTAATTTATACAACGTGTATTCTTTCGTCCCTTTGGAAACGATGGAAACAACACTGATACGTTTCCAGGTTGGCCAATTTCATTAATAAGGGCTCGATTGAAAATGTTTGGTGAATACAGAAGTCGTCCTAGGTAGTTCAAACTCTAGCTACACCATTCCAGATAATTATAAGAGCGACAAAACATAAAATA